AGATGTATCAGTCTCTTCGTATTCGCCTAATATGGAGGGAATATTTAAAATGTAGGGAAGGATTTAATGAAGGTCGGTGCTTCGTTTCTAAGAAGACAGTTATACTTCAGCCAAGTCCGTGCACGTCCTAATACGTGAACAAAGTGCACTGGTCCACTAATACCACCAAGTATTGGATATATTAGTATGGGAGGTAATGTTGACTACATATTTTGTATAAGCCAATCACAACTTAACATGTGGCACGAGGAAGGCAATTTGGAGAGTTAATATAAGTTGCCAATCAAGGTCGGACACGTGGCAGTTCGTATTAGAAATAATGGACCTGCGTAGCACTGGAATCGTCAAGAGTCACAAGATGACGTGACCTAACGGTTACTCATAGATTTAAATTCAAAATCAGGAGGGAAGCATAACTGCAAGAGTGTCGTAGTAGGACTGACTGTAAGAGAGCATGTTTAGGAATCATGGGAGTACGCTTCGACGGTTGAAAGCCCATTTTGATAGTTACCATTGGGAAGTATAAATAGTAAGGAAAGCTCCAAAATGAAAGCCTCGAACTCAGATCTAGAAACCAGTTTATTTACTTCATTTTCTTTCCAGTTTTACATTTCTAACACTTCAATTCCTGCACTGCACTTCATTTTCTAGGAGTAGTTTTTCAGTAGTTTGTTGCTATGAATCTCATCGAGGTTGGGTCATTGTAAGTTTTTATTTGCTTAATGAAATTTGATTTCTGAATTATATTTATTTGTTACTATTCACAATTTTCTCCTAAACAAGCTACTAGTAAAAGTCCTCTTTATTGAGGTTGAATGAACTTTAACACAATCGCTTGATAATTGGTTGGCAATTATAAATTCTGTAAGGACTAATTGATCCTTGCTGGCACGCTTAAATTTACATTATTAACATTCGAAAGTCAAAAAAACTAACAGTTTTATTGGTTGGTTATATTGTGGGTGTTTGAGAAGTTGCTATTTTAGTTGGCTATTTTGTATTTTGGCTATTTTAGTAAGTTAAAATTTTTGTGTTTAGGAAGATGATTTGATTTTTTGCAGTTGGATGTGATGTTTGTGAGAGAAAAAGTGAAATAATTATGAATTTGATATAACATTTTATCTTATTCATTATTTTAATTTATTTTATCTTTTTGTAAATTTTAACAAAAAAAAATTGACTACAATCCAACTTGCCAAACACCCAATTGTTGTGTTTTCATTCAATGAGCAATTCACATCACCTCTTTTCCTCTAACAATACAGAAGACAAGCAAAATCTTTTCTAAATTTGCTCAATCGTGGTAGTGTAGTGTGTTGAGTAAATTTTCTTCTGCTAAACTAGCGAAGATCTTTATAATTGGATTTAATTATTATCCAGTTCTATTAAAAATAAATATGAGTAAAATTATCGGTAAAAATATTTTTTTGTGATGATTTTTTATATATGTTGTTAAAAATTAATAATTAGTTACTTTTTTTGTCACGGTTTTTGTTAATTGTCACTAAAACTTAAAATTAATGACTTTTTGGTAATGAATTTTTCAAATTGTCGACGAAAGTTAAAAATTTGTGATTTTTTTGTGACAATTTTTTTAAACTGTCACTAAAACTTATAATTATTAACTTTTTTGTGACAATTTTCAACATGTCGCTGAAAATTAACTATTAGTGACATTTTTTAATAATATTTAATGAAAAAATGCTATTAATTCTCACAGAACCTATTAGATAATAAGTATGCCTATTAGGACATGCACGTAATTCTCTCATTTTCTTAAAAATTTATAGATAATGAAAAAGATTATAGTTAAGGAAAATTTTATGGTACACGCCCCTTTTTAGAGTGTGTATTATATACCCAGTTATGACTTTTATGATTTAAGGTTTTACCCTATTATGATATTAGTTATGAATTGATTGTAACTTAATTATACATATTGTAGTATTAGTTTTGACTTATTATGATATTAGTTATAATATTATTTTAATTATGATTTAAAATATCTTTAATTATATTTCATATAATATTTGATTATGAATTTTTTAAAACTATGGCCGAAGAAGATCTAATTATATACACCCTTTTGAAGGGGTACCATAGACTAACCCGTGAAAGAATGATAATTGTTCTGAATCGAAAAAAAAAGAAAGAAAGAAAGAATGATAATTGAAAATTTAGTAGTTGAAAGAATGGTAGTTAAAATTATTGAAGAGGGATGAATAATAATTAGAACAAGTGAATGTTGGACGTGCGAAAATTGATATTTTAGTATTGGAGCAAATTAACATATGAATGGCAAAAATGACTTTCTGTATTGAAGATGTTCGAAAGAGGATTAGTCATTAAAATATATTACGTTTAAATTATAAATTTAAATAAAAAAATTTAAATATAAATAAAATATAATTATATTTTATTTAATTTTTTTTTTCTTTCTAAATTCTTATCTAAATACAGTCCTAGAATAATATAAAATTGAAATCTTAACGAAATATTAATCACCATTATCATGCATTTTTTTATCATTGAATACTCATACACGTGTATGGCTTATGATACGATGCAATGTGATATTTTTTCCAATTTCTACATCTGAACACGTTGAAGCTGAATTATTGGTAGTACAATGAAGTAGATGCACCAAGGAGTACAAAGTTGTACTCTACCAATAAAACTGAAAATTGCAGCAAGTACTATGGTGCAGTACACCCAACCAAAGCTATGAAATTAAAAAAAATGGTTCTATATATTATGCACATAATATGAAATCATCCACACAGTGCCCACCAAAGTTGGAGAGAAAAAAAGAAAATGTGGGTGGGTCCAACAGGGGCGACTTGAGATCACATCAAGGTGCATTTGATCTTACTATATGCTTGATGATGTGTTCTCAGGTCGCCCCTGTAGGACTTCCTTCCACTGTTTAATCGGATAAATTTTATTTGATTCTCATTTGTAATTATCTCGACATTATTGGTTGAGATTGTCCCCATTAAACTGATAGGTTTGTGATTAAATTATTCTTTATCCATACGGTTTTAAGCAGTTCTTTCCATGTATTACTACCACCTATTTAGTTTTTATTTTTTGAATTCTTATTGTTTTATTTTTTAAAATTTTAGGGTGTATTCTTTGTAGATGAAAAGAGATCGAATAATAGCCAACGATAATGATAAGGTCGTCTGTTAAGGTTGCTTCAATTTTAGAGTAGCAATAAAATTGTTTGATCGATCTAGTCATCAGGAGTTGAAATTTTAAAATAGTATATTTATACGTGAGAAAAACAATGCATATATCTAAGGGGGTAATTTCATTTCAGTTTAAGTTTACACAAATATTTTAAAATTAATGATAAATTTTACAAATATTAAAAATAAAATAATAAAATTTTCCATGAATATATAATTAAAACTTGAAAATTTTCCCCTATATCTAATCCTCTTGGATGAAGAGAGCCACGTGCAGCACTCTCTGTTCTCTCTTTTTTTTTTAAAAAGACTGTTGAAGGTCGAACAGGAAGATATTCCCCAAATCCCAACTTCTTCGCTGGGCAAATTGATTTGCAAATTGAAAATTTGATGCAAAACATACTCCTAGCAAAAAAAGAAGTCTGTCTTTGATTAGAAGATTTAATGAAAGAAAAATATATTCTCACTTTTTGTCTTTTGAGTTCACTTGGATTATTTTCTTTCTCTATTTTTAACTCGATCAAAGCTTAACTTAAAATTTCAACCCTATCAATTCTCTCTCTTTCTTTTTATTTTCTTTTTTCTTTCCATTTTCGTCGTCAAATCCTCCAATCAAATACAGTCTTAATATGAAATTCTCTTAGTCTTAGTTTGTTTAGAACGAAATAAGTAGAAAGTGAAAAAAAATAAAAAAGGAAAAAAAATTTAACTCTATGAGTTTGTTTAGCTTGAAAGTGATAAGAAGTAAAAGAAAACTAATTTTCTTGTACAACTCATGGTAGCATTGTATTTAAGTTTTTTATTTCTTACAAAAAAAACACAAGAAAACACAAGAAAAATTGAATGTGTGAGTTATCCATAACTAAAATTTTAAAATTTTCGATCTTTTTCTTATAAAATATTTATCTTAATCAAATGCTTGCAAAAAAATATATTTCTTTTTTTTTACTTCATTTTCTTTTACTTTTATTTTTTATCAAATTTTATTTCTAATCAAACGGAGACTTGTGATTTTGCTTTTCTCCCTAATCTGTTTACATGAACGACGTACCTTGAGCCTTTCACAAAATTTTTATACTATCATAATATTTCACTCAAAACTCCTCTTCATCTCCATGTAATTTTTTATGCAGCATAGAAAGTCCTATTATTTTTAAATATAATGAACTAGTTTAATACAATTTATTGTAAGTTAAAAGTTAAAAATTAAAAAATTAAAACAAAAACACCCCTCCTTTAGTTTTCAGAATGTAATTTCTCATGGAGCATAGAAAGTTGAATTATTTTTAAAGATAATTAACCAGTTAGTGCAACATACTGTACGTTAAAAATTAATAATCAAAGAATAAAAACCAAAACATCCCTTAGTTTTCAGAAAATTAATTATTTTTCAAATTGTTTAAACTATTTTTATCTTATAAACTATAAACAAAAATTACATCAAATACTCTAACAAAACTCCCAAATTAAAATAAACTATAATCAGATTATTTAAGCTACACCAAACGGGTCAAATTAGTCCTACACATAGATAACTTTTATTACATAAAAATACACAATAAGTTGAAATAAATTTACTGACAAATAACATTTCTCTTATTTTATTCCCACAATAAAAATGAAAATATTTTTTTGCTCAAAAATGCTAGACTCCAAAAAATTTACCAAATGTTTCACATGAATGTGGGACTCACATGGGACCCATATGAAACATTTGATAAAACTTTTGATAGAATTTTTAGTATCTCTAGCATTACTCTTTTACTAGCTCAAATCACAATATTTTCAACGAGAGAGAGAGAGAGCATAGAAATGAAAATGGAATGCTGCGTATTGTGCAGGACCATACCTGCATTAGGAAAAGCAAGGGACGTCCTGCATTTGGTTTTAGTACACTACTATATGAAGATTAACCTACAACACAACCAAAAAAGGAAGAAAGATACAGCTATTGGAAGTAAAAAAATATAAAGTGGGATGGACAAAAATGATTAAGCCAAACTAAACCATTTAAAATCGACTCGGCTATTCTGCAAATTCCTTGCTCGGAGTAATAATTAAACCAAAATCCTTACAGCTGATGCAATGGCAAACACCTCTTCCTCCTCAACTTTCTTCCAAACCCCACCAATCATCAGCCGGCCCTTGACACCTTCTGACGATGTATCATCCTTACCATCAGATTCACACACACCTTCACTCCCCCTCATCTTCTTAACACACAAGTTATTGAAAAGCTCAACATCACAATCGAGTCCTCGCTTGAGCATACCCTCGTTCAATGCTCTCTGTTCCTTGCTTTCTAATGGCTTTAGATCTTTATCATCATCATCACAGTCGAGAACAGGAAGCCGACCAGAAGAACCAACATCACAGGGCAACATACCAATCGGACACGAGTTCCATGATTTTGTTATAACCCATCGGTTCTTATTTCCCACATCACCATCCGTTGTCTTCAACACATTGCTCTTCACTCGGCGAAGTTTAACAAACTCAAGCTTCTTGGCTGCTTGGTGAATAGAATCCTCTAGCCGAGCAAGGTTGCTTTCAGAACTCGTGGCAGGAGAGTTTTCTTCATCAAACGTAGGATTTGACGCCTCTAGAAAACATAGCTTGTTCAGTTTCTGAACCAAAGAGCTATTTCCAATCATCTGTGCGAGAACTAAGGCCGCATCCCTGAGCTGGTTGTTGCTAGGACTTGAAACCAGAAGAGATTTTCGTAGGAGTTTCACCAGAGTTCCCTTTGGCAAACTTGTATCTATTGAAGAACCTTCAGTTACAGTAGCAGAATGTCCCCGCCCTATAGGCTTCAGTCCCTTCAGATTTCTGACTAGCCACTCAAACAGATCCGAAAGTCTTTCAATGTGGTGCACCCCAGTTGTATTCTCTGATATGGCATGTTCTCCTAATAAAGTTTGACCCAAAATTTTTTTTTATCAAAGACACAAAAGAAACAACTTTGTAAGATCATTTAATCATTGCATACACAGACACAAAAAGCTACAAGACATACTAAAATTCATCTCTCCACTATTCCAGACTATGGTGTCAAGGGAAAAACCTACAGGACATACTACCCAGACATACACAGACAATGTTGACTTTCGTATTTAGTTCCCTCCATTGAGCAAAAAAAATAGGAATGACATTATAAATGATAACTAGAGATAAACCAATAGTTAGTGATCAAATCTAAAAATAAACTTGATGGCAAATTTCAAGCTCTCTCCAAACAGGGACTCAAAACTGACAGATAATAAAGGCATGTCAACTAGTTATAAACTGTTAAAAAGTAGGATGTGAACATATCAACAAGTCAAAATCTTAAAAGCAAGATATTGGCATAACCACTCCTAATCCTCCTCATGTTTCATCTTTCCCATAAAATATTTGATATATGTGTACACTTTTCTAAATACATATTAACTGTTGAAATATTTGATCATTTTTTACTTTTTAAACTTCCATCGGACTCTATTATTTTTTAAACTTTAACTATTTTTCCTTTATAAAATCCTATAATGGACTAAACAATAATTCTCCCAGTATGTACCAGAAGAGGCCCATACTACCCCAATTGGTGAAATAGCCCAGTGCAATCTGAAATAATCAGGCACTACCCTAAAAATTACCCTGAAGAGAATTCAACTCACTTCGTATCATTTTGTCGCCAGTACAATAAAGTACTGAACCATACCAATAGGTACAGAATGGGATTGTCAACTATGATGTCTACAGATACAAAAAATTAAAAATAAATACTAAGGAGTATCTCTGTGATTCGTAAATCCCAGGCATTATTAAGATTTCAAACATCAAAACTAATTTGCATATTATGGACGAAGGTTTCCATCACCTAAAGACAGCTCAAAATAACTTTTCCAAGCCAAAAGTAGTGCAGCAACCAAACCCAACAAAGAAAATCCAGTGTTCGCCAAGATGATGGTAAAATTTTCATAAAAACTCAGCAAAAATTATGCCTCTTGACAATATTCGGAAATACCAGTTATATGTTAATTTAATTGTTATTGGGGCTGTCCCTCTGTATTTCAACCAAAAAAAATTGATGTCAATTTTCTCATTTTAAAACTTAAATGTAATACAATATTTAGAAGTCAAATGAAAGAACCAGAAATATTAATTGAACAAACAAAAAACAAAAATGTAGCGAACATGTTAGAAATAAGACATAGCAGTTACCACTTTCATATTCCATGGCCTCTTGAGTCTCAATCTTTTCAAGGACTGCCTTAATAAGGTTCAGAAGCAACTCTGGTTCTTTATTTGACAATTTCTTTACGACAGGCTTCCAATCATCAAATAGACTCTGCACATGAGTTGCACTATGACTGACTTGATAACTTTTCGAATCTGATCCGTTCAACAAAAGCTGTACTAAAACAGACACTACTTCTAAGGAGTAGGAAGAATATAATCGAATAAGATGTTTGAATGCCTTGGTGATCTGTTTCTTAGAACCTGAAACAGACAACAGATCAATGGATAAGACAAAAAACAAAAAATAAAACAACATACCAATATATTAGTTTTCTCAAAATTCCTTGACACATAGCAGGTCCAAAATGGCAAGGTAACAAATACTTATTTTCTCCTATCTATTTTTCTTTCTCCTCAATATACGAAAGTAACAAAAATTTAATATACCAGAATCAATCTGCCCAAACACACAAACAAAACACTATTCCGAAATACTCCAGCTGCATCCCAAATGACATATTCCCTTAACTAACATTCTGAAAAACAAAAATCAAAATGGAGGAAAAACTAAACTTGATGTATGAACCACAAGCCTTAATTAAGACAATTATCTTTGCTTTAAAGAAATAAATAAATAAAAAAAGAGATTAATATAATTTAAGCTTGTATTATTCTAACAGTTCTATAATATTGGATCACTAACATTTGTACAGTTGCATAAGTTGTGATTTAATCATGCAGTTTAAAACTGAAAGTAATAATATAAATCATGTTTCGTATACTTCGATACAATTTATCATTATTATTCTTTGCAGTAGTGTAAACAGCGTTCTTATTAACATTTTGTAATTCCAATTACCATAGTCGCAGCTAGTTTTACACTACAAAGCAGGTTGGATCCTTCTAAATTACATTCATTCCAGCAATTTTGTATTCTTATATGGTCGGGATCAGTGTGAAATACAATTTAGCCATCGTCACTCCTCACCGTTATATTCATATATCCAGATAGATAGTTGTAGAAATTTAATATATAAAGAGAAATAGAGAATTGTATTATTGATTGATTTTTATTAATCTATTACAATGATTCATGATTCCTATATATAGAAGAGGGTGAGTGTGTAGTAGGTAAGGAGTAGGTGAAGTGGAGGTGGTAGTGGTGTAGTGGGTTAGGTTTAGTGGAGTAGGTGAGGTGGTAGTGGTGTAGTGGGTTAGGTTTAGTGGAGTAGGTTTAAGTGGGTGAAGTAGGTGGAGAGTAGGTGGATTTTAACAATAGTGTTTAGGCTCCTTGCTCCCCAAGTGCAAAGGGAGATTTGCTCAAAATCCCCTCATAATAAAATTTTAATGTATTAAGAACAAGCACAAAAAGTTTTCCTTGAAAAGTCCAACATACACCACTATTACCAATATATTGAACTTTAAAATAATATAACTTTTGATCTAGATATTGGTTTTTAATAAAATTAGTATTTTTAAAATCCTCTCATCAAGTTCTATCAAATAAGATCCATGTTGTGATATAGGACAAGTAATGATTACTTTCCTACAAGTAGTGAGCCCGGTTTAAGTATACTGACAGCGGCAATAGTAGACTTGTAGGGCTGAATTTGGTAGGATTTTGTGACTGCATAAGTATTTAAAAAAATAGCAGTTTAAGGGCTTGTAAAAAGGTAGGGTTTTGGGAATGAAAACACAAGTGTTTAGGGACAATTGGGTGGTTGTTCTAAGCACTGTGAACAGTAACGTGAACAGTAACCTTGCTAGATAGAAGAACAAGAACAAGAGAGAGAGAAGTGCTTCACCCTCGCAAGGGATAGGCCAAGCACACAAACTTGTTAAGATATGGGAAGAGGAAAACAAGAGATTTTAATCAAGTTAAGTGCATCAAGAGTGAGGATTCTAAAGTATTGGTGAAGGATGAAGAGATTAGAAGAGATGGAACAACTATTTTGAGAAACTACTAAATGAGGAACATGGAGGTACATCAATAGGGAAGAAAGAAATAGTCAGTAATATGATAGACCAAAACTATAGGTTCTATTACAGAATTATGAACTTTGAAGTGGAGATTGCACTTAAGAAGATGACATCAAATAAGGCTGTAGGACCCGATTATATCCCTATTGAAGCTTGGAAGTGTTTGGGTAAAAAGGGGATTGCGTGGTTGACTAGGTTATTTAGCAAAATTTTGTTGACTAGTAATATGCCAGATGAGTGGAGGAAGAGTATTTTAGTGCAAATCTATAAGAATAAAGAAGATGTCCAGTATTGCAACAACTATAGAGGAATCAAGCTAATGTATTATATAGTGAAAGTGTGGGAGAGAGTAATGGAACGCCGATTGCGAGATATAACAAAGGTGTCAGAGAATTAATTTAGGTTTATGCCTGGCAGGTCAACGATGGAAGCGATTTATCTTTTGAGGAGAGTAATAGAAAAGTATAGAGAAAATAAAAGAGACATTCATATGGTGTTTATCGACCTTGAGAAAGCATATGATAAAGTGCCTCGAGATATAATATGGTGGGTGTTAGAGAAGAAAGGGGTGACAAAATGTAACATTGATGTGATTAACGACATGTATGAAGGGGTGGTGACCACTATTAGATCACCTGTTGGAGAGACAAATGAATTTTCTATCACTGTAGGGTTACGCCAAGGATCTACATTAAGTCCTTATCTTTTTACTTTAGTTATGGATGAGTTGACAAGAAATATTCAAGATGACGTGCCATGGTGTATGCTTTTTGCAGACGATATCGTGCTAGTAGATGAGACCAGAGAATGAGTTAACACAAAGTTGGAGATTTGGAGAAAATCACTTGAATCTAAAGGATTCTGGATAAGCAGAACTAAGATAGAGTACATGAAATGTAAATTTAGTAACAGTAACAATGAAAGCAGATGAGAAATGAAGATTAAAAACCAAGAACTACCTAAGAGTGAGTATTTTCGTTATTTAGGTCAATTATCACAACGGCGGGGGAGATTGATACGGATGTGGCCCATAGGATTAAGGCGGGACGGTGTAAGTGGAGAAGTGCGTATGGGGTACTGTGCAATAAACGAATACCTACTAGACTAAAAGGTAAGTTCTATAGAACGGCTATTAGACCAGCGATATTGTATGGGACGGAGTGTTGGGCAACCAAGAAATAACATGTAGATAAGATGAGTGTGGCTGAGATGAGGATACTAAGGTGGATGTGTGGCAAGACTAGATAAGACAGAATTAGGAATGAGTATATTCGAGAATGGGTAGGAGTAACACCGATAGAAGATAAGTTAAGAGAGAATCGATTGAGATGGCTTGGTCATATTCAACGGAGACTAACAGAGACAGTAGTGAAGAGAGGCGATGCAGTGATGGTAGATGGAAGTGTTAGGGGACTGGATAAGCCTAGATTAACGTTGACTAGTATTGTAAATAAAGATATGGATCTACTTAATTTGACTAACGAAATACCTTTGATAAAGCCGCGTGGAGAAGAATGATTCATGTAGCCGACCCCATTTGATGGACTTAAGACTTGGCTTGGTTTGGTTTAGCTTAATAATATTCTAGACCAACTATGACTTCCAATTCTACTTCAATCATAATAGGAAACTTTAATGATTTCTAAATTCTACTTCAATATCAAAATAGGAAACTTGAACTTTTGACCACTAAGATTATTTTAGACATAATAAAACCCATATATAATAACCCATTTAATAACTTGACCTAAAATAAAACACATGGGTGACCCATACAACCCGTGTCCAACAATTATTGGAATTACTATTATACCCTTAATTACTAAAACCTACTATAATGACATGAAGACACAAAATTATTTCAAATCTATAATTCTTGATGCCCTAAATGTGCTTCATGTGAAATTCCAGATTTGCTCTTTTACTTCTTTCCATGATCTTCATCATGTTGATTATGAAATTTTTAAAATATATATATATATATATATATATTATTACCGTCGAAATTGATGTAAACAGTAACATGTTACTCTGGTTCAAAATAACACATTACTCTAACAATATTGTCCAAGAAAAAAAAATGATATTTTATTTTGTCTTTACTCAATTATGCGCCTCCTTCTCAGGAGGTTTATGAAGCAAAATAAATTGAGATGTCCTTTTCACCAAATACGGGTCCAATAAAGGGGTTTTGGCTAAATTTTCCGAGTGTCATCCACCACCACCAACCCCCAAAAGAACTAACAAAGAGATGTTAATGTTAGTACTAGCATTAGGTTGGGAATTTCATTACTGTGTAATGTGCTTTTAGATAGAAACCAAGCCACACGCCGAAGAAACACAGAATTGTTTTTTAAACTATTTTGTAAACGTGGTCGTGTCATATCTGTGTTATATATCATGCTTGTGCTTCTTAGGCCACTTTCATGAAGAGAGTATATTGGACAAACCTTAGAGAGCCTTGGAAGCTTGAAGAATTATGGAAAAGCATCATTGGCATGCAAGATGGTACGAGAAAGCTTCATCGGCAAATAAAAAGCTTTAGACAAGGACGGGATCAAGAAGACCATAAAGAATGGACTCTACAATTCATGTAGTCAGTTTGGGCGACTAACATTGAAGCTTGGTCAACTAGGGTTGTGTCTAATCAACAGGAGACCAACCATATAGGTTGGTCAACCATGTAGGCCTTTTAGGTTGTCTTCCATACATGCATACCCACATGTGGACTAACAGAAGCAAACAAGTAAGTCAACACAAAGTGGAATCCCAAGAGTGCATTCCAGAAGACTAAGATTGGGCTGACCAAAATTGTGGTGTGGGCAAGCCTACAGACTTGGAAATTTTGAAAAACTAAATATTAATTGCCAGGGACTGCCTCCTATAAATACACCCAAGCCCCATCAGGATTCTTAGATGAGAGAAGACACCTAGAGAGTTTATACACCTCTTATACACACACATTTTATCCAACCCTAGAGAGGGAGAGCAACCTTCAACACAAGTCTTTCAAGACATTGCTCCTTAAAGTCTTTGATCTCTTTGCTAGCGGAAGGTATTGTTCTCAACCTTTTTGTGTAGTTAATACATTATTGCCATCACATACACCTATGGCTGGTCGCGGGCCAGTTTTGGCTGGATCGGGTCGCAGGTCTGACCTGACCCACACTGCTGCAGGTTAACAAAATTGGACCTGCAGCCGCCCGAAATGTGGTTTGCCGTTTGTGTGGGTGGGTCAATCGGTTCCGTGGGTGGGTGCAGATCGGATGTGCGGGTTGAAGCTTCTGCTTTTCTTGAAAAAATTTTGTTGGCCTTTCGTTTTTTGGCCACTTTTTTTGGAACTATTTTCATGTAAAACTAATAGCCAAGAGATTTAAAAATCTTATACATGTAAAATTAATATCTCAAATCACGCCCATTCACCCCACTGATGCCACACACCAAAAGAAAACCCATTAGAACACAGGCAGCTCCAGAAAAAATACAAACAAAGCATAGCACCAGCACCCCACAGCATCCATAACCAATTCATCAAGCTTAACCAATGTCCACCTCACTATATTGGAGCATATCAGAAAGTATTACATCTTATTGGAGCATTCTTTAGTTTTATTGTCAAATCTTAAAAGAAAAACAACATGAATATATATATATGATGATTGATATATGCATATATACATATATATTACCTGATGCATTCCTTAGTTTTATTGTCAAACCTTTAGGGACAACATGAATATATATATGATATTGATCTATGTATATGTATCTGTATGTCAAAACTCGCCGTCTGTCTTCAGATCATCATCAAAGAAGTCTTTCACTTTCTTTCAATAGTCGGCAAGAGAGAGAGACATAAGAGATGATAAAAGAGTAAGCAGCTGCTGGGCTGCTGCTTGCTGCTAGGGTTCAAACTAATAAAACAAAACAGATTTTGTTTTTAAATTGATCTGCGGGTGGGTCGGATTAGTGCAGGTCCAACCAAGACCCGATCCAAACCAGAACTTTTTCTTAAAACTAGACCCACATCCGTCCTAAACTTATGCCGAAACTGCCCAATTCACTGCGGGTAGGATCAGATAGGACGGATTTTGCAGGTCAGCTATTTTTATGCCCAGCCCTACATACACCTACACTTCAATCTCATTTAGAGACACCCTAGGAGCTCAAGGTGAACATAGTAGTTGAAGTGATAGGAATTGTGTTTTGGTGGTGGTTGGTTTTGGATTGAACTAAGAAAATCCAGTTACTTGTTTTGTTTGAAGTTTGTTATAAGGATTGTAGGTGAGCCGAGAGAAAACCTATTGGTGTTGTAAAGGTTTCGGGTGAACCAAGGGAAAACCAGTTTGATTTAAAATTCAAGACAGCCAGCCACTAAAATGGCACTTAGAGGAGAGAGGAGAGGAGAGGAGAGGAGAGGAGAGGGGAAAAAATTACAAAAAATAAAAATCCAACAACCCAACTTTTGAACCACGTCTTAGCATAAGACTGGCTATAAAAAGCTGAAAAACACCACTGCCATGTACGTCTGGAAAATTTTAAAAATAACATTAAATGGATTCACCTGCAGACTTTGAAGATTGGGGTTTGCCGGCCATAAGAGAGAGAAACTTATTACGCCTGCAAAGTTGTTCGCAATGTTTAGTCCCTACAAAAGAAGTGGATGTCAATAAAATCAAAGGTCATAGAGTAGTTATATATTTTGAATTCTTCTCCTTTTTTATCAGCAACAAAGGAGATTTTATTAATAATATAGAAAAAAGAGAAAGATACAAAACGAGCACAACACAAGTAATAGACGAAAAAAAGGAAAAGTGACCATAAAGTTCCTTTATGGAAGAGATTAATCAAACTAACTCTTCTTCTCAACTCAACTCAACTGACCATTGTCCTAACTACTAGGATTAGCTAACATGACTACATAAGTTGTTTTAAAGGGACAACAAATACATACGGAAAATAAAATCACATAAGGTTGAATATAAGGCATGTGCCTTCGGTGAGGTAGACCAACAACACAAAACAACATACAGAATGTAGCCAAATATGTTTCTTTTCTTTATGACATAACAAAGAATTTCTTTTTTTCATTCAGGCAGATATTATGAGTATATATATCTACACATAATATTATTTGCTCCACAAACGACGTAGTTTTAGGCCTTGCACTGAATATTTCTTCCACTGTGATAGAAATATGATGTATTTGAATCACAAGCAGCCTACGAAAAGCTTAGCTGTAAACATGTGGATTTTACTTCTTCCTTTTCTTTTTGCGTCAAACTTGGGGAAGTTATAGTATACAACCCATCACTAAGCTTTCTTTCAGTAGCTGAAATACAATGCCTCTACAAAGGTGGACTGTGACTGCTTTAGTACCAGTTTAGCAGTTGTTGGATCTTGCATCATAATACTGAAATTTTTCAAGTCCTTTTAATTAAACCCACAATAATAAAATATTACACCAACCCAAAATATACCACTTGAATATCCATGGTAATTTTTTTAAGTATAACTTCAAATGTAAAAAGAAAATAGGATAACTTTTATTTCTAAACCTGCTTTAAAGAGAAATTAAGGCATGCGTTAAAGAGAAAATAGGGTATCATTTTTATTTCTGAACCTGCATTAAAGAGAAGTGTTTCCAAATGTTTCATTTTATTTCTGAACGATGGATTATCTTATTTCTGAACGTGCATAATCCTACATAATTAAACAATATGTATCATTTTTAAGACCGATTTTCAAATATGTATTTGAAAAGTGTACCCTTTTCAGATGTTCTTACAGCAGAGCAGGGTCTTAGTTTAAAAGTGCTTCCTAAAAGAGCCTTAATTTCAAATTAATACCCTGTTTGTATCATTTTCAAATTTTTTATACCACAAGTTAATTTGTTTATTTCCTTTTTCTATCACAAGTTAATTACAGCAAGTAAGTAATAGAACAGAGCAGGTTCTTTAGGATCTTAGAACAGAATATTGAATTAAAGCATCTGCTCTGTTGTAATACTTGTTATTAACTTGTGACAGAAGAAAGAAATAAAACAAATTACTATACATATTTAAGAGAAAGGAAAGTATGCTTAATTAAAAACCTGTTATATGAAAATAGATCAAAGATTTTATAATAGATAGCTCATTTTCCAATTTACCTTACAATTTAAGTTGGGCCAACCAGGACTTGATTAGCATTTAAAGAAAGAGACCTCATAGGCAATCTTTAAATAATATAACAGAAGAATGCTTCTGAATACTATCAATTTATCACACACACATATAACAATCAAAGAATTATTGAATATATAGCAGAAGCATAATAATGTCTATTTAGTTTATAGCAAACACAAAATATTGAATGAATGCCACAAATTAAAAACGATACAAAGGGGAAGAAAGACAAGGAATCCTTCAAGCCATGGACAAAGAAAAACACTGATAAATAAAAAGTGAAAAATCCATACGCACGTTTCCCCTTAGCTAATGAAGAACTTGAACCTTTAGTGTGCTTGATTTTCAACCAAAAAGCCAATTCACAGAGTCTATACTTGATTTCTTTTCGGAGGCTACCAATGCCATCACTTTGAAATGGAATTGCCTTCTTTTGAGGCTCCCAATAATAAGACTTCAACCAATCTAGCGCCTGAAATTGCCCACAGAATTATAATGCTTTGTGATTTAACTTTCAGACAACAACAACAGTAAAGAAATGCAGAATTTAATGATACCAAGATATGTGAAAGGTACAAAGGTGTGTATTGTAGGTCATGTAATCTCAAATCAACATGAATATTACTAAACAATTCAGTTGGATTAATCAGTTCAAGTTGTATTGTCATGGAGCTCCATACAGAGTAATTTCCTAGAAGCATAGAAAAATATATAGTTCCTTCAGTTTGGATTTGGTGCAAAACATAAGGATGGAGTGAAAAGTTCTGCTTCAAAATTTAAAGGGTAATTTATCCTAGAAGCATAGGAAAATATCACATCTCCCAATCCATAAGAAAGATTCAAATCTCTAAAATTCTCTAAAATATCAACTCCATTAAACTAGAAGCATCACATGACTTTATACAGAATTTAGAGAGTTTCTTTTCCAATTGGATTACCAAAAAGGAAACTACTAAAAACTTACTTCTAAACTTTATCCAATACAAATAAAATCCAAAAAAACAAAAAAAAAAATCAATTACACAACTTAACCCATAAGACAACCCATGGCAACCCACAAAAATTCTGCAAATTACCAAAATACCCCAAACCTGATCAACTTGCAAAAATTAATTTTAAACTAACTAGTAGCATATTAAACCCAAAACAAACACAAATAGGACTCTAATAAAATAGTAGCTCATGCCAATTTCCAAATATTGCCACTTCTTTAGCTTTACTTTTTCTTGCTCGTCTAGTGGATTGCATCACATGTAAAATGGAAGGGTTGATTTTTTAGTTTTTTTTTTTGGGTTCTGGATCATCTAATTTTCTATGTCAATTCACTAGAATCTTTTGATTTAAAGATGTCGTTTCAGTAGAAACACACCTGAAGTGCCAAAATTTCGAGATTGATCCTTGTCTGCTATATGTTTTCTTCTTTTTGAAACTTTGTCATAATCATCACTGAATATCAATAAAATCCATCTATTCTTTTAAGACTCAAAACAATTTAGAAAGAAAAACGGTGCCTCTTACAGGCTAACCAAGTGAGTGAGCCTTTTGACAAACTTAGCATGTGGATAATCGCCCACTTCAACCCAGTAACATTGTTATGTTGGACCAACATGACATATCTTATAATTGTTTAAAGCCCAAGATTTTGGACAAGCCCATTCCAATCTTCTTTTGGTACAAGAATACCAAAGGCAAGTGTTTGGAATCATTTCTAATATATAAGGCAACACAAACTACAGAGCTACCCACATGTGATTAGAGCAATTTTCTGCACAAGACGTCAAACCACTTTACACGCTCAAAAACTTAGTAACTTATCATGGCAAACAAGCTTCCCAATGAGGACAGTTTGATTAGACTATATACGACAGAAAGAGAACATATACATACCTTAATTGAAGCAAGACGAACCAGCCGAAGTGAAGGGAGATCACGGTGAGAACCCTCTACAAATAAACATCAAAGAGTGACCAATGTTGGTTTTTACTTATATGTCATTTAAGGAAAAAACATGACCGTAATTTGTAGAATGCATCAATGATAGACCGAGTGTTGGTTCAGTGGTATCTAGTTGCCAACCCAGTAGAGAAAATAGAGAGATTGATCAATGTAAGTTCCGTTTTATCTATTTTTTTGAACAGAAAACACTTTTCAAAAATGAATGCACCCTAAGCCTTAAAATGTTAACTCTCTAACGTGACTCGAAAGTGGTGGGGTTCAAAAGTAACCAACTCCCTAGACTTAGGGGTTAGAATAGCAAGATAAAATGTTAATAACTAGATAAAGAAAATACATATTTTGACTTGAGCGTAATGATTATTTGGAGTTCCTTACCATGGCGAATATCAATCAACATACGTGGAATATTGATTGCATCAGCTGCCTCCGCAATTGATACCTCTGTCTTTCTGCGTGTCTTCTCAACAATACCATTCACAAGCCTTCAAAGAAAAAATTTAAGAGTTAAGCCTAATTTCTTCTTAAAGTTTGAAACTGAACGTCACAAACATGCAAAGAGCAAAATTAATCACATTCAATTACAACATGAAGCTTACACATGCTCGAGTGGTCACTAAAAGTTGAAATGAAAAGGCATATCTGCTCAATAATGCTCCTTCCCCCCACCCCCAAAAGAGGGAAAATAAAAAAAATGGTGCCCAACATTTAAACACTAGTAAGCAAGCGATTAAACCAACAGAAGCAGGGGAGGGGGAAAATACTTTTCAACTTTAAACTTATTTATCGCTCATCAAATCAGCAACTTCCAAACATATTATTATGTACAGATGGGTTATTTATTATAGTTCAACACTTCACAACACTAATTCCTAGAATAACATGTGCTTGTAGTTGCCACACACATTTTATTTTAAGGGAATAGACTATAAAATGTATTACCCTTAAAAATATGGTATACCAATGACAAGTATACTTATTTTGAAATTATAAATAATTGTTATACATATATAGGTAAGACATACACCAGTATTCCCAGCTCATGGTTTTAAATCACAGTATTAGTTGATGTAATAGTCGTGGTTTGATTGATAAAATCATATAATAGGAATCAAAACTAGAGCCATGAATTTTCTTCAAGCACAAAAAATGCCAAAAATAATAATAATAATAATTGATGAGCAATTTATGACCTTGTTTATCACAATTTGAGTGTTGGTAACAGTTTTTAATTAATGTTGTAGCGGCTAAGAACATGTTTTACAAAATTATACTAAATTTTATATTACTTTTTAGGCCAAAAAAGTGAAACAATTCATCTAGTAAGTGGTAAGAGAATTTCACAATCTAGAATTCTTCAAATTAAGAAGCTTCTTTAAGGATCAAACCTATGAAAGGAGTTGAGAATCAAATCAAGCCAAGTTCAAGTCCAAATCCTTAAACTACCATTGTGGCAGAAAGACTTGAGCCAAACCCATCTCAACACAATAAACTCATAACAAAGTATAAACTGACACAGGTACAACATCATTTCCTAGGCAAAAGTTAAAGAACCATACACACAAATGGCATTTAGAGGAACAAAGCAGGAGAGACTTTCTAAATAGATAATAAAATTGGGCCGTTTGTTCAGCAAGGCAAGCTTAAACTATCAATACATTATCTCAATTCTCCTAATTTTCTCTTAAGCCTTGCCAATCAAGTTCGAGAATAAGGTTGAGACATTTAAGATTTTTCATTAATAACTTCCTTAGAGATGGCATCTTGGCCCAATCGTAAGGCTTACTATTTGTGTCTCTAAAGACACAATCAAGTTAAGAGAACAACCTCCCTAGATATGGGGGTAATAATTTTGCGAGAGCCTTATGTGAAGGGCCGCCCCTTTTTTTTATATCTGCCATCTCAAGCCTAAATGTTTAGCTCATTTGGATTAGGAAGCTGAGCTCAAAACAACAGTTAAAAAAAAAAAAAAAAGCATTCACTTTGTTTGTTTCTAATTTTCAAAATTCTACTTTTTCGTTTTCCGTATTTTTTGTTTTCATTGAATTTTTTTAATATTTAGACAATTTTTTTAATTTTTAGACACACCTAACATAAATACACTTAAAAAGTATAATATTTTTTAAAAAAATTTTTTAAAAAAATTCACTAAATATCAAAAATACAAAAAATACAAAAAAATTAGTACATTTTGTATTTTTGTGTATTTATTAATTTTTTAAAATATTTTTTCACAAATAATTTACTATTTAGATACATCTAAGTAAGATACATCAAAATAAGTAAAAAAATTGCTTAAAATTTAAAAAATATTCACTAAAAATAAAAAAAACATGAAAAATAAAAAACTCAATTTTCAGAAAACTGAATTCAGAAAATTAAAATCAAACACACTGATTATTATTTACCTCCTAAATTATCCCTTACGATTTTCTATTAGGTTTAACAATGGTTGCAAGACTAATCAGGTTTGGATGTACAACTCGTGATAATGTCCACCCAAATTGCACCAAAGAAAGAAAGGGTTAAGCTTATCTTTTCAACAAAACCTCAATTTATGGGGAAGGCAACCCAAGCTTAAATATATTAATCAACTTGGGTTTTCCATCAGATTTAACGATGGTTGCAAGAATAACTATACAGCTCGTGACTGTGTCCACCCAAATTGTAACAAAGAAAGAAAAGGTTGAGCTTCACTTTTCAATACAACCTCAAATTCTAGGGAAAGCAAGCCAAGCTTAAAATACTTACTCGATATTAGTAAGCTTGGGCTTTTATAGTTGCATATCTATACAAAATATATCAAAACCCAGGAGCAACTATGATTTTTTTTACCACTACTTTTAACATGAACCATGATATAACCTAAGCCAGCATTGGTTAAGAAGCCCACCAACACCAACCCGCTCCTCCTAAAAAGGGGGCAACAAATTGCTTTTAAAGGGAGTGTGGATGAAGCCAACCAAGTTTTCATATAAGAAAGAAATACATATATATATATTGAGAGCTCCATATTTTCCTTTCTTTTTTCGCCTAGGGTCGGAGAGTTTTGGGAGTTGAGAACGTACAAGTAACTTTATCCTATAGTTGATTTTGGATCTTCTTCTTTTTTTTGATAAATGCTTTTGGATCTTCTTTTTGACATAAAACAATAAATCATTTTGTTTGTGAAATACAAGTTAGACAAAAAATAATAATAATAATGAGTATAAGTCTCAACCTGAGGTGAAAATATTTATCAACTTCAACCCCATTTAAAAACTTTCAGCTACTTCCAACATAGTCATACACATAGACGACATCAGGAGAGAATGAATGCTTTCGTATATCCAAACAAGATTTAGTAGTACCAATGAAGTATAAAAAAATAAAAACAAGAAAAATAAAAGCACTAGGAAAAGAAAATTATAACCAAATTTTCCCTTTCTGTTTCCAAATCCCGCAACCAAACACAAAGTAACAATTGCAAATTAATCTCTTTTTCTCTCTTAATGAATCAACCCAAAAACCCATGAGAATAATTCATCAATAAAACAATAATTACCTCACAATTGCCATGCAATATAGCATCGTCAGCATCTCCTCCGAGTCCAAAGCATCATTACTAAGGTCAACTCTACAATTGACAAAGACAATTCCTCAGTATAATAATAAAATAAATAAACACACAACATTCAAGTTTATTTCAGTTTGGAATATTAACCAAAAAAAGTTTGGGGAAAAAATTCATTACCTAAAAAAAGGATCTTTTTGCTGAATTTCAACAATCGAAGCAGTTACTTCAATCACAACAGGAAGACACCCTCTGCTTCGCCACACCGTTATCTGGAAAACCCCAATTGGTCATGCTAAAATTTGTAATATCATTAACCTCCGTTTGTTTCTCGAGAAAATTTTCCCAGAAAATAGGAGTTTTATGTTAGTACTTACTCTTCGAAGAGCCGAGGCAATGGAGTGTGGGAAAGAAGAGAAGAGAGAGTCTCTGACAAAGTCCCATTCATCCCAGGTAAGCCATGGAACCAACTTGTAGTCACATGATCGGCCGACATCAACATCGACATCGAAGCTGCTCATGGTTTCCATAAACCCTAGCAAGGAGTCCATTTCAATTCACTGTTTACAATTAAGGGCTCCTATGGCAATGCCGCAACCACTTAATTGGAATTCCCTTGGAGCTAAATCCCACTATTCCAGCACTCTTTTACCCAGAAAAGAAATTCAAAAAACAAAAACCTGTGTAATATATATATATATATATAGAAAGAGAGGAGAATTTCAGAAAACAACGAATGCCAAACATAAATCTCAAACGATGACTCAATTCAAGCATAAAGCACAAATATATTAGTAAAAAAAAATTAAATCAAAATCAGTCAGATTTTATACATATACATACATATATATTATGTATATGTCAAATATATATATATACATAAGAGAGAAATAGACCTGTTCTTGCAAGGTCTCTATGAGCCGTATTCTTCTAAAATCATTATCGGAATTCAGCATAGTGAAACTGAACAGAGCATCGTTCCTCCTCGGTCCCGTGGTTTTGGCGCCGCTCTATTGGGAGAGTGTGTGAAGGCGATGGGTTTGGTCTTTGGATTAGGGGGTGGTGGCAGCTGTATTAACTAGCGTATTAAGGTTAATTATTGATCTTATTCATTAATTATATTATAAACATTTAAAAAAAAATTAAAATTATATCACATCATCAATTGATACTAGTTAGTATATTAATTAGTACATATAGCATTATTCGAAATAGAGTAAAAAAATAACAATGCACTGCCATTCGATCGGATTCGGTTTAATATGGTCTGAAATTCTTAATCGAAATTTTAAAAATGTCAAAACCGAATTGGTTAGGTTTATTTTAGAAAGTAAGTTAAAAGTTTATTTTTTTATTTTTTTTTTAAATATACAAAAAAAAGTAAAAAATTGGTGATTACAAAAAATTTAAATATTAATAAGCCGACTTTTAACTTAATTACCAAAAAAAGCCTAGATCTAATTGAAAAATTGTTCGATTTTGTTCAGTTCAGCATAGTTTGGTTAATTATATCACATCATCAATTGATACTAATTAGTATATTAATTAGTACATATAGCATTATTCGAAATAGAGTAAAAAAATAACAATGCACTGCCATTCGATCGGATTCGGTTTAATATGGTCTGAAATTCTTAATGGAAATTTTAAAAATGTCAAAACCGAATTGGTTAGGTTTATTTTAGAAAGTAAGTTAAAAGTTTATTTTTTTATTTTTTTTAAATATACAAAAAAAGTTAAAATTTGGTGATTACAAAAAATTAAAATATTAATAAGCCGACTTTTAACTTAATTACCAAAAAAAGCCTAGATCTAATTGAAAAATTGTTCGATTTTGTTCAGTTCAGCATAGTTTGGTTAATTTTGTCGGTTTATGTTCTTTTCAGATAACTAAGAATCAAAATAAATAATAAAAAAATTAGTTTCATAATATGTATGTTGTCTAAATAATAAGGCTTGGTTTAGGAACAAACTATTTTAGTAATTTTTTAACTTTTTACAAAAATATGTACAGAAAAATAAAGAAAGTAATGTGACAACTTATAATGATTTTTTTATTTTTTGACTAAACTTCAAGTTGTCAAAGGAGGCCTAAGAATGTTCTTAATGAAACTCAATGTCTTAAGTTTAAGCCTTACGCCTTTGAATAATAATTTTTTATTTTAGGATATACAAAATTGTCATATGACAAAAGGAGAAATAACCAAACAGTTAGACACCACACATAGATGAATCACATGCTTGTTTAGTCGTGGAATTAAATATTAGGAAATGACTATTTTATTGAATCTTATATTTATTTGAGATATTATGAAGGAAGATGAATGTTCAAAAGGCAATTTTGCTCTTTTAAATTGTTCATTAAATAATATCAATATTAAACATGTGTTTAATATTTTAATTTTCTGGCTAGATTAAATAAAAAAATTTAACTAAAAAAATTTATTTTAAAAAAATTAAATAAATAAAATATCAATAAAAATTAAATAAAAATATTTTTATTTTTAAATTGAGATATTTAAATTTTATTTAATTTTATTAAATATAATACATAATTAAATCAAATACTTTGAGGGCAAATATGTCATTTTATCATTTAATCCCATGAGATAGTTATCTCACCAATTCTAGCTCATACCCCACTAGGATATGCAATAGTCCCACACATGTGGGATTGATAGTCCAATCGGATTCCAAATCTGGCTTACGAGTTTGTACCCAAATAATGAACTCCATGATCTAATGGACATGGTGTCCAATCCCCTCTCCAGTCCCTCCAAACAAATACACCAGTAAAGGAAGAGGATTATCATATTTATATTTTGTATTTAAAAAAAAAAAATATATATATATATATAAAATGCTGCTATTAGCACCCCATAAATTATTTTAGACCCCCCAATTTTTAGCTTTTTTATTACAAAAATAACCTCAAATAAAATTGTTACAAAGGACATAATTAATTTTTGGACACCCCATCTCAGAATTAAACCTACACACCTACTACATCGTAAATTAGGGTTTATGAGAGCACCCACCTTCATCACCACCCATCCATCTTCTCTAAATCTCACCTTCAAAACCTACCGAAAACCCTTTGGCTGCAATATTCCAGCGGTAACGGTGTCAACCATTTGATTACCTACACTTCTCCGGCAGTGACAATGAATGGAAGTTTTTCTAGCAACCATAACTTCATAAGACGAGAGAAGTACAACAATAAAAGCTTCGAAGACGTTCATAACTTTGATATTGTTCTTAGCTTACAGGAGATTGACTTTGTAAGGGTAAGTTTCTTGAAAAAAATAAAATATGGTCGTCATTTTTTCAGGACTGAACTCCTGAACATATGACCGAAATTTTGGAACACAGGCCCGAACATTGCTTATTTGTTCGGGAACCAGTAACCGAATATTTATTTTTTGTTTGGAAACAAGTAACCGGACATCATTCATAGGTTCATACTTATTTTACTAGGAAAACTAAACCAATTATTATAATTTTTTTCTATAAAAGAAGAAATTATTATGAGAAAACTAAGAAATTATGTGTGTATATATATATAGAGCGAAAGAGAGAGATAGCATATCAACTGTGACAATGGTGGATAAGACAGCAGAGACAGTAATCTCACATTGCCTCTTCTTTTTCTTCTTTTTCTTCTTTTTCATGGGCTTTGTTAGGGTTTTTTGGGGGTGTAGGGATGTAAGAGGTGTGCATTCAATAGGTGAAATATTTTCACAAGGATAATTTTGATATTATTTGTGGGGAAAAAAGAAATTTTAAGGGTTTTAAAATTTATAAGTGGGGGTTCAAAATAATTCATAAGGTGCTAATAGCATCACTCAAAAAAAATATTCAGGCTCGCCCAGACCTGACCCAAGCCTGAGCCCAAGCCCAGTTCCTGGCTTGGGTTGTCTAAGGCTTGAATACCCCCTAGGCCTATGCCTGATTTTCTAGCCCATGGGCTGACCCAATCCCAATTTTGCCAGGAGCCCGGGCAGCCCAACATGAGCTGGGCCCAATTTACACCCCTACCCATACCTCTTTAAAATACAATAGTCCCACATATGTGATATTAATAATCCAATAAGACTCCTAATCTAGCCTACGAATTTGCAATCAAACAATGGACTCCATGATCTAATGGACATGGTGGGCGTTTGTTTGGAGGGATTGAAGAGAGGGATTGGACTCCATGTCCAATCTATCATGAAGTCCATTATTTGGTTGAGAATTTGTAGGCCAGATTAGGAATCCCACCGGACTATGAATCTCATATATGTTGGACTATTGTATTCTAGGGGGATGTGGGATAGAAATGGTGTGATTGGAATCCCATGGGATTAAGTTGTAAAATGATACATTTGCCCTCCAATTTCATCACGTATTGTATTTAATAAAATATAAAAATCTCAATTAAAAAATAAAATAAAATAAAATTATTTAATTTTTATTGATGTTTTATTTTAAGTTTTTGTTGATATTTTATTTCATTTAATTATTATTATTTTTTATTTAATTTCATTATTTAATATTTTTTAAAATAAATTTATTTAAACTTTTATTTTAAAAATAACATAATTTTTATTGATGTTTTATTTATTTAATTTAGGTAATTAAAAATAAATAAATTTATTTAATTTTTAAAAACTAAAATAAAATTATTTAAACTAAAATAAATTTTTTTTTTTATTTAATCTACCCAAAAACAATTAAAATATTAAAGACAGATTTAGTATTGCTATTACTTAATAAACAATTGAAAAGGGTAAAATAGTCTATTAAGTTTTTATCCTGCTTCATAATATTTCAATCAAATATTGGATTCAATAGAATAGTTATTTCCAGGCAGCTAATCCCATAAGAAAACAAATACGGGATACACATTCTTTCCAACCAAATAATCTAGGGACTATATATCTCAGAATTAATAGTCCGATGGATTACAATCCATGATCCGTCCAAATATACATGAATAGTATAGACAATGCCCACATATATAATACTATAGATGAAAGAAGGAAAAGGAAAAAAGGGTTGTTTGGGTACATACTAAAATAGCATACTTATTATCTTTTCATCTTTTTTGAGTTTCGTCATTTTTTTATTTTATTTTTTTTATATATTTTTTCATAAAAATTTACAAAGTTATTAAAATAACCGAGTCATATCAAATTTTAGTACAAATAATTAAATTTTATTTGTGATAATTTTTTTTAAAAAAATTAGGGTAAATTACACGGACACCCCCTATATTTATCTGAAATCATACTGTCACCTCTTTTACTCTTCGAAATCACGCTGACGCCCCTTATTTTAGAATTTTGTGTAACATATAGACCCATATTTGAGTCAACTGTTAATTGAGTTAATAGAGTTTGCTAGCTTCATCAAAAAATTATACGTTAATGCCAAATTTACCTTTCCATCTACAACATCTCTTTTGTTTAGTTTTCCCATTCCCTAGCCTAAGCACCACTGTTCAATCTTTGTCTCTCCATCTCTAGCCCAAGCACCACCAATGTCTACCTCTCCCCTTCTCTCATTTCTTCTTTTCATATATTTCCCCAAGTACAACCAATATCTACTCTATTCTCTTCCTCTCATTATCTCATTCCCTAAGCACCGCCACCGTTCACCACTATTTTTTCTTTCACAAATAAACCAGCACCATTACAACCCTTAATCAAAAAAATCCATCATCATTCCTCTTAGATTGGCGCAACCTTAACCTCTGTTGGCTCAAATTGACGCAATATACAGCCTCCATTCACGTAAATCAAGCCTCACTTTGCCCAGATCAACACAACTACTGTAGCCATTTTCTTTTATTTTTCTCATCATTATCGACGTAACCATAGATTTCTAATGGTGTTGACGATCGTGATGAAGGAAAATTGACAGCAGTGATTGATGCAACCGGCAATGATTGATGCAACCATATTTCTCATTAGAAGGGAAGAGAGATAAGAGATGTTTGAGGAAGGTGGAGATGACGATGATAAGAAATAAGGATGATAGGTCTGGGTTAAGCTATGGTGGTAGCGAGGC